TAGAGGGGCCTGACCTGAGGGCAATGGGGCAGCTCTGGAACCTTTCTGCTCAAGAGCCTGTTGGTCAGATAAAATCATTGAGCAGAGCCGGTAGACCTGTCGAGCAATAGATTCTGACTGTGAGTATGGGTGGGGTTGCCCACAGAAGGATGTCATCCTGAGGGGAGCAGGTCCTTGCTGGCCCTCCACAGGGCTCCTTGCCCTCCTGGCTGCCCTTACAGGAGCCTGGAGCTTCCTCAGAAGGGGTAGATAGTAACTGGGAGAAGGCTTCATGCTATGTTAGTTGAGCACCAAGGGGTCTTCCTCCCACCAACCCATGGGGACTGGAGGTTTCCTCCAGGAGAGAGGGAAGGCCAGTGGAGGCCCTGTTCGTCCCTCAGTCCCCTCCAGCATCACCGGAGGGCTAGTGCAGGAACGGCATCTTTCCTCCCAGGAAGAGTGAGGCCGCAGTACAACCACAGCTGGAGAAGGGCTGTGAGGGGCTGGGAATGCTGCTCAAGGCTGCCCGCCCTGGGCAGCAAGGAGCCCCAAGAGGCTTGTAAAACCCAGGGGACTCCAGGAAAAGTTAAAGGCTGCAAGGTGAGGGAAACCACGCATGCCAAGTGTCCAAGGATGGCGAGGGCAGTGAGATCAGGCAGACTGGAAGTAGAAATACAAGGACTCGATGAAAAGGAATATATATATACATTTATATGTATAACTGAATCACTATGCTGTACACTCACCAGAAATTAACACAACATTGTAAATCAACTATACTTTAATTTAAAAAAGAAAAGAAATACAAGGACTTGGTGACATCTGAGGAGTCCAGGTGAGAGGAAGGAGGCAGAGGGAATCAGGAATCTGGTTGGAAAACCTAAGCGGGAGTGGAGGCTGGAGGATGAAGAGGTCACCTGGAGGGCCTGACGGCTTGAAAGCCTCCAGGAACTGTACATGGAGGTGTCGGTCATGCATTCAAAATGTCACGGATTTACTGGGCACCTAGTATACCGGTGCTGCACTGGTGAAAAACACAGCCCTGCTCTCAGGGAGATCCCAGTTTAGCCAGGGAGACAGGGCCCAAGCAGTAGAGTATGAAGGATGAAGAAAGCCGTGCTGCAGTTAGGGGCCACGAGGCTCTGTGACGGAAGGAAACAGGAACCCACTTCAGATGGTGTAACGGGGGAAGGCCTCTCTGAGACCTGAAGGATGACCTGAGCCACAGTAAAAGCTGTGGACACACCTTCCATCCACCCAGAATATTGAGGCCTGGAGGCAGGGGAGGGCCGGTTGTGTTGGGGGAACAGCTGGCAGCCACTGTGGCTGCAACAGTGCTCCCCTGGGAGCAGGAGGTCTGGGATAAAATGGGGAAAAGGCAGGCACTGGCTTGTAGAGCACCCTTTACCTCACACCCCTTCTCTCCTAGGCCACAGCAGGGAGTTTGCTTTTATTTATTTATTTAGACCTTAGAGAAGCCATGGGCGGTGGAGAGTGGATGTGGGTGGGGGCAAGCTGGAAGGTCAGATGATGCACCAGACTGCAGGTGCAAGTGGGCAGAACTGTGCTCTTGTGAAGGTAAAGCCAACAGTACTTGCTCATGGATCAGATGTGGGTGAGTTGGGGTGACTCCCAGGTCTGAAGCAGCCAGGTGCATGGTGGTGAATGGTGGACTCAGGAGCCCTCTCTTACCTGCATCTCACTTGAATTCCCTATTAGCCGTCCAGGTTGGGGGGTGGGGGTAAGGAGGCTGTGGCGTGTTGAAGTCATTGGCTTGGTGACAGGTGTCCTGACACCTGGTGGTCAGCAGTGGCTGGTGGAGAGCCCCAGATCCAGGGAAAGCTGGGGCAGCCCAGCACTGAAAGCTGGATGGGAGGAGGTGAGAGGGAAAGAAGGAAATGGTGCCAGAAAAAGGAGGCACTGAATCAGGTGTTGGGTGCTCCTAGGGAGTGGGGGAGGGGGCCGGAAAGAAAGCTGAAGCAGGAGGACCTTAATGAGTTTCAGGGGAATGGCGCAGACAAGATGTGTATAAATGGGTCTAAGAGAGGTAGGAAGAGGGCATGGGGACAGAGGATTAGAGACGACTCTTTGGAGACATTTGCTCTAAAGCAGCTGAGAAACTGCTGGAAGAGGGAGATTAAAGGAGTGTTGTGTTTTTTGTTTTTTAATGAGATACTAGATTTACCTCTCTGGATTCTAAAATCTACAGGCATAGTGGCAAAAGGGGAAAACTCAGCTGAAAGTAGTTCAAAAAGTCATTAAGTGCCCTGTGGAATCCAGAGTTCAAGGTTGTGTCTGAGTAAAGCCTGAGACCCCAAGGGAGGGAACGCATGTGCTGATGCTCAAGTCCCTAAATCCCCTGTGTGTGTAAAGACCCAGTGGGGCATGGGAGTGGAAGGGGAAAAGACCTGGGGCACCTGTATTTGCCCTCAGCCTCTGACCCACAGAGGGCAGCTGGTGGTGTGAGAACTAAAGGAAACAGCTTCTCACCGGGCAGCAGGAGTGCGAGGGTCCGGGGCTTTCTCCAGAACAACCAGGGAAACAGAAGCCGAAGGGGCAGAACACAGGAGGCTACAATGGGGAAGGGGTCAGAAAGGGTCAGTGTCAGTTCCTGTGAGAGTCAGGTCCATAGACCACAGGGAGAGATCTCAGCTGTAGGCTCCTGTTTCCTCAGTGAGCTCAGTGGTGAGGGTCTCAGGAAAGAGAGTAGGCTGCAGTAAGGGGATGAGAGGCTGCCCCTCCATTCCAGGATGGCTTCCTGGAACAGCTGGGTTGGAAGGTCCAGATGTTTGGGACCTCTAGTGACATGGCATTCTGAGATCAGATGGGCAGGGGCAAAATGGGAAGCTTTTCAGGGATCCAACCCTTGCACCTCCCACATCCAGCTTTGCTCCCTCGCAATCGGCCCACCTGTCTTCAGTTTCCCCTCAAATCTCCATCCTCCACTCTGATGACTGCAGAAGTCTGTGCCATGGGTTGGGTGTGTAGCTAAACGGCATCTGGAGAAGGTCCCAAGGTGGAGAGTGAAGGAGGTACCCACGGTGATCCTGTGTCTCCTGCCAGGCCAGGCTCACCCCAACCAGAGACGCATGCACCAGCCCTGAGTCAGTCGCGGTCAGAGTCCCATAGGTCTCTTCTGCAAGGTCTCCCGCAGTAGTAGGGAGCAGGGTGTTCAGGGCTGTCCCGACCCCCAGGTCCTTCATCTACTAAGAGAGGCACCTCATTGCTTCACTCCTCATGTGCTCTTACCTTGCTGGCAGAGGAAACAGGGTCAGCCTCACTCACCCGATCTAGGCATGGGGCTCCCCCAACGCACCAGGAACCCTTGGGGGCCACGGGGCAACTGCTCCCTAGAAGTGGGCTCAACTTCTGCTTGCTTCGCCCACCCTCTTTCATGCCTGAGGGGCAGTGGAGGAGAACTCCATCCCAGCAGGACGTGAGATGGGGAAATCCTCGGGCTGGTGACTAGAGTGTGGAGGGGATGGAGGGTTAACACTGTGGTGGGGAGAGTTCCTGGGTCAATCCGGGGCCCGAGGGCTGTGGAATCATTTGTTTAGAAGCCACCGAGGGTGAGACTAGAGGTTCATCGCATGGGCTGGATTTGCCTGGCCGCGCACACCACTGCCTCCCTACAGGAACACGCGCGTGCACCCCCACACCCCCAACTCCCCGCCTACTTGTAGAAGACGAGGCGCTGGAGAAGGCGCCTCCCCTGGCCGGGCTCCCTCTTGTCCTGGAAGGAAAACCCGGCGGTGAGGCCATCTTGGGAAGAAGCCGCGAGCCAAGACCTTGACCCATGAGAAGGCCGAGGGCGCAACGAGGCCAGGAGAGAAACCGCGAGGCGCGCAGCGCGCAAACCCGACGCCGCCGAGCCGGGAGGTCCGCGGGCGCCGCGGGCCAGGGC